CAAAAGATTTTTGGGCTGGCATCCCAATCAGAGGACAAAAATAGTTTAAATAAATAACGGATTATTAAAAAACGATAATGAATAAACGAACACCGAGTTTTTCATCAAATAATTAAGAGTATTGAAACTTTCCGAGCCCTCGCTCGCGTGCCGAACAAATGGGCTCGCGTGCCAAGTTTGGCACGCGTGCCAGGGGTTGCCCACCCCTGCCCTTTGTTGCTGTTTTGTTTGTATCAGAGTGATCAAATAAAATTGATTGATTGACTATACCAGTGGCGGCGCGTCAATAGGGCCAACCGGGGCAAAGCCCCGGTTGTTTTTTCGGTATAATAAAAAATATTCGAAAAATACCTCAATATCGGTTGCACAGACTGTCTACACTAGCCATATTCTCCCGACATGGTTCATTTTTCGCTCGCAAAGCCTTCGCCGAACGTCGACGGGGCGACGCCGATTTTGCCCCGGTTGCTCATTGTATATCGTATTCTCTCTTTTATTTTCCACTCGCCGCGTTTGTCTCGTTTGTTTTCTGTTTCTTTTACTAAATCATCGGGGCCGATCGGGGCTAGCCCCGAAATTATGACGACACAATGCAGTAAAATACCGAACATTCGGAAATGTTAATATTGCAGCACAGTTGGATGAAGGACGCGCGGTTTCTATTTGTCGGCACAACCAAAACGTCGAGAAAAACCGCCCTGTTCTCGGTCGATTGATAGATGTTTTGAAGTTCATTGGTTGTCACGAGCTGTCCCTCCGTGGGCACGATGAACGGGCTGGCTCTTTTAATAGAGGGGTATTTTTGGATATGGTGGAATACACCGCATCCCTAGATACAGTATTGAGAGATCATCTTGATGTCGCAACTGTTTCGAAAGGGACATCTAAGAATATCCAAAATGATTTGCTCGACTCAATGTATAAAATTTATTTACAACATTTGGCTCTGGAAATTGAGAATTGCCAGTTCCTTTCGATTCAGTCTGACGAGACAACTGACATCACGTGCGTTTCCCAACTGGCTGTGATTTTTCGGTTTGTGAAAGATGGTAAACCTACCGAGAGATTTCACAGCTTTGTACCAATCGTTGATCGCACGGCTTGCGGGATATCGGCTGTACTGAAAGAAGTGTTACAGCCTGACAACGCGAAGACAAAATTGATAGCTCAAACTTGTGAAGGCGCGGCAGTCATGAGTGGGTCGAAACATGGTGTTCAAGTTTATATAAAAGAAGATTTTCCTCATGCGCATTTTTTACATTGTTATGCACACCAATTTAACCTCGTTATTAAAAATATGTGTCTTGATACCCCTCTCGTCCGTATATTTTTTTGCAAATGTTTCGGGGTTTTCTTCATTTTTTTCCGTTTTGCCGAAGCGCTCTGACCTCCTTCGCCAGATATGTAGCCGCCGTCTCCAGGCTTGTGCACCAACACGTTGGAACTTCCAATCACGCGTGGTGCAGGGCGTGTCCGAAATTAGGTCTGAGCTCATTGAGTGTTTCAATGGCATTCAGAGCTCTCCGGTTTGGGACGAACGCTCTGTGAGTGAGGCGGCAGGTCTAAAGCGTCTGCTAGAAGATGGTGAGTTTTCATTTTTTCTCCACAATATTCTATCACGTGGATGTATTATACGGCGCATTGCAGTCAAGGCTAATGGATGGAGCGTCTGTGCAGTCGTGTATTTCAGACTTCTGCGATGCTGTATCTCGTATCCGGGAAACAATAAAATACGACGACACATGGAGTGCTTCTTTACGCCGCGGGCAAACAACGCAGCGTTTGATTTTGTCTGCAAAGGAATGCTGTGACATTCTGGTGAATCAAATAGGCGATCGTCTGCGCACTGAACACCTTGCCGCGTTCTCTTTGATGAACCCCAAAAATTTTTCAGAATTTGCACGTCAATTTCCCATCCATTTGTTGGCTACTGTCTCCAAATTTTACCCCATGATAAACGTGGGTAAATTGGAAAATGAATTGCGATGTATATACACCAATCAAACCTTTTTGAACATCACATCAACTTGCGCGCTCTATGGGTTCCTCATAGATAACACTCTAGTAACTACCTTTGCGGCGTCTGCAAAATTTCTGGACATCATTTTGACGACGCCTATTTCTTCCGCCGACGCAGAGCGAACATTCAGCACGCTGAAGCGTATTAAAACGTATCTCAGAAACACAATGAAGCAAGATAGATTAAATTCCTTGGCTGTTTTATCCATTCACAGAGACGTTATTTCTGGGATGCATGACTTTAATCAGCGCGTTATTGAGCATTTTGCTTCCAAGAAACCGCGGCGTGTTGCATATATGTTCAAGCAGTAGAAGTCTAGCAGCATATATATCTATGAGTGAGCGACGCATGTCCTTATCTTTGCAATAACTTTCCTTTCTTCATAGTAACGTTTAAAACCTTATTTTAGGTTTTGTCTGCTTTCCCGAAGTTTCTGTTGATATGTCATTGTATTTATCTGGGTAAATATTGCATTTCCTTTTGAAAGAGGTTTCAAAATAAACTATGTCTATATTTATTAATCCCTTGACTTGGACCGGTTTTAAAGACACTTTCTTATCGTTAAAAATTGTCGCTTTTGCCGATTGGTTGTTACCGATGGAATGGTTTTTATACTCATAAAATGATTGGAGAACTTACAGCGCTCATCCTGTCCCCGTAGATGGGGGTGACTTGGTCCCGCAGTAGCTTGCCCCGGTTGTCAAAATGACCACGCGCCGCCACTGGACTATACTAATGACATATATATGTACACTAAATGAATGCTTGATATAACATGTTGCTATTCTGAATTCTTTAGTGTACCGCGAGTCATCAAGAAAATTATTAGGCGACCGTTATGCAAAATGTTTGAGAACCTCTATTCTGGAGGATTGTGGCGCATCGTGCTAAGGATCGGAATACCGGTACACTTGCCACCGTACCTCTGATTACCCTGTGTGAGTTCGAATCCCGTGAGGGATAATTATGTGCGACAGAAATGCTGTACTCCTCGCCGTTGCAGGTTGGTCTACGTAAACGCTGGTCGGGCACGCCTTCCTCCCCTATCAAGTCTATGCATCTGAAACAAATCCTATATCCGACATGTACTGGTAACCGGACGAGAGGTCGTGGTTCGTCGTATGATTAGGACGTCCTATCTACTTTCCCTCCCCCCAGCGATAAAGCCCCTCATTGAAATAGACAAAATCCTGGAAAAACCGAGTTTTGAAATTTCGTCAACATCCTACTAGATACCAGCCGCTAAACACATCAAAAATACTCGAACGAGCTTTTTAGAAAATACGAACGAGTTACAAAAGCTTGTGAAGCTTCAAATTTGAAGACTTTTAAGCCTTAAACTATTTTTTTAAATGATTGATTTAATGTCATCTTGGGAGGCTAGTCAATTCGCCTATACAGCCAGAGTCTTATTTACACACACTAATCAACTCTGTTTTGTACAAATGATTTGCTTGTTTTAAATTTATTTTTAAATTTATTGCACATGATATTATGAAAAAGGAAAACAAAACCATCAGGAAACTCATTCCCAAAACAAATTAATTCACATCCATTGAGAATTATTGAGTGTCACACAACAAACTTAAAGTTGTGATTACAGTTACAAGAGTGTGAAGTGCCAATCACAAATACAATTCAAAGGGTGATGTATAAGCATAAAACACACACTCAAATTTAAGTAGATACCAACATATAGCAATCTATATCTAGGATCCAGAACAGGGTTGTCCAAGGTTGTCGGCCTTGCGGGCCACACTTTATTTTTGTATCTCTAGGGTCACAATAGGTAAACACTGAATATAAAACAAACATTTTCATTGGCCAAACACTTATCATTATGTGTCATTTATCAAGCTAAAACATGCAAAATCCACTAAAAAACTCACTTAAACCTGCAAAAATCTTACTATATCGACATTCAGTGTAAGATTTCAAACTCTGAATCATAACGGAGAAAGTGTCACAGGGACATAATGCTGTTTTAGATTGTCACCAACCACAGCATTGTGGTATTTTCTGGTTATTTTTATGGTGAAACTACACCAAACGGGATTTTTTGTTTACTCCCCCGAAAATGCGACGCGGGCCACATGTGGCCCGCGGACCTGGGTTTGGACCACCCTAATCTAAATAGAAACAATTCAAACATTTGTTCCAATTTAACTCAGCATTGTGATCGGCCTGCAGCTCCAACTAGAATGAAATAAGTTTACTTTCTTGTTTTAACTAGAAGAATACAGACAACCCCACTAGTTGATGCAGCCTTTATGTCAATACAGGCCTGAACCTCTTTTTCTAGACTTCAACATTAATTTGAATATATAAAAATTGGTAGTATGAGCACTACTGTTGTGTTATCGGATTACACTTTAGAAAGAGTGAGGCCAAATTCAATCTTGGAATTGCAAATGAAAAACTTTCCCAAAAAAAAAGTATTTAAAAATTTTTCCCTATATCTGCATATTGATGCTTAAGAGCTATATTGAACTTTTCTCACAGAATACTTTACTTCGCAGATTTACTAGTGTGGAATACCATAACACTGATGAATTCAAATTATAAATCACAATAATATATCAATTTTACAAATCAAACCGATTCAAATTTTTTATATTAATATATTATACTATTTGGAAACTATTTACAGCCGATCAAAAACCAAGATAATGCATATTATTAGATTGGTATTTTCTACATAATGTTGTCATAAATTTAAAAATATATCTGCTAGAAAGATATTAAAATCAACAATATGAAAGGTTTGATTGGAAAATACTAGTACATTCAGCGTCTAAGAAACTCATTCACAAATATTTATCAAGCTTGAAATGAACCAAATAAATTTGTAATATGGATAAAATAGTTTGATTCCAATGGTATTTTCTTTATAAAATGTTTCTATATCCAATCAAGTATCCATCGTCTAATATTTCAAGTTACCCAGGCCAGGTCTTACTAATTTTACACAGATCAATCAAAAGATCTGTTGTGAAGTATGATTTGCTGCTATTTGTTTATAATATAAATATATTACAACTTGAATGAATTGAACTTGATGAGATGGCCCTACAAAATTATGTAGATAAATATTAATTAAATTAGTGGATATATATTTACTTTTAACTCGTGGATTAGTGCTTAGGAATTGGAAGAGTTTTAAATAACTGGCCAGTTACAGGACAAACATACTTATTACTTCCACAGTGGGTATGAACTGCAACACCATTGGGATATAATACACAATCAGAATCTTGAAACAGCCTATTGCACACTTGACAAATTTTGTCTTCCGAAATGCGAACGCTAGTGTTCATCAGATTCACATTTACTTTTTTGGTGCTGTTATTTTCACATTTCTCGAGCATCAGCTGCAAATGACTTGTATGTAGATTGTACATCCGCAGTCGTACAGTGCGACTCAAAAACTGTTGGAGTTGTGATATTGACCAAGCTTTTGGAAGCAAATTTAATACTCTTTGAGCATCATAATACTCAGCATGCTTGTTTAAAATATCAACAACAGCCATTGCGGATTTGCCAGTCTTTGAATCCAATGAAACTTTTGATAGATAAACAGAAAGTAAATTTTGAAATAATAACTTTCTGCTTTCATGATCGGTGCTTTGTTCCATGCAATATTCTTCGGCAGCCGTTTGGTCCTTCATTCGATTAACAAGTAAATCAAGAGCCTTCTGATGTTCACCCAATTTTCCATGTAAAATAACACTTTCTGCGTGCAAGTCAGTATCTCTCACTTTACTAAGTATCAATGATATTCTGTACATATTTGAGACTTTCAAAAGTGTTTGTAATCTCTGCCTCGCAGCAACCAAAGATTCCTCATCTACTGATTGTTCTTTTAATTTCAAAACAGTATCCAGGTAAAGAACTGCAAGATGAGTGTGATACTTTTCTTTTTGTATCCTGCAAACAAACACCAAATGTTCTAAGTAACTTACTACAGGACCGGGATAATGATGAAGGAAATCAATAATGTCATCTGCTTTTAATCCCAATTTTGATGACTCAGTCGCCATCAAATTATCACTGAACTGTGGAGTATGCTTCGTAAATATCGAAACTCCTACATCTTGGTCAAGACTCAGAATCCACTCACCATGTTTCCATAATTGGTTTATATTCGTACAAAATCGGCCAAGCATTTCAGCTACAAATGACAGGCTTGGGAAATCAACATCTATCTTCAAACCTTCTGACAATTCTTTCCATTCATTCATTGCACTATCCAGATCATCATTCAAAAGGTAATTCATAGCTTTGGCATGGAAGCAATGATATACATCTAAGACTTCACAAATTTCTTCAGCGTAATCCTTGAACTCATAAAAAAATGAAGATCGTTGTATAACAGACTTTGATACAGGTTCATGCTCTCCTTGAAGAAGTAATAGTATGTCATCTGTCATATGCTGCTTAGCAAACACCTTTATGGTAGAACGAAAAATATCACTACGATATTGAGAATTTTCTTGCAAAGTTTTCTCACCAAATGGATTGGATTCTCTGTTTTCGTCATTCGACAATCTTGGTACAAGTGAGCACTTGAGTAAGTAAGACGCTAAAAAATTATAGCACCTTGCAATGTAATCGTCAGATCTGGAACACATCTCAATAACATTGGCTATGTCATGATAAGGTGGGACATTACGAACAAAATTTGAGTCAATAGGAAGTACTGTAGGATATAAGGAAATAATTTCTCTAATATCTATTTTTCCATCGTCAAACATGGCTTCCGCTTCTTCGAACTTAAGTTCTTTAAAATGCACAAATCCAGCCTTTCTGTATGTTGTCTGCATCATCTCATAAAATTGTTGTCTAGGTACACATTTTCGACATTCTTTCGCTAGTTCCATAGCTTGTTCGACTCTTTTTTCATTTAATAAATCAGCAATTTGTTTGTCAAATGGAATAAGATTAAGAGCAAATATGTCTTTTGTGGTACAAACAAGAACCTTCCCACCACTTTTTAACATGGTTAGACCACCTTGAAATGGTATAGTCTGTTTTTGTTGCTGATCAACAATACTATGGATAGTGATAAATTCATCATCCATTGCAACTACATATGGATGTATAAAACATGCTTGTCGTACTGCTGTCGACCATTGAAGAGGAGCACGTTGAGAGATTCCGGCGGATGTAACAAAAACTCCGAGAGCATTTGGAGCAGTAAGAAGAAACTCAGCTGGCGCAACACGATGAACAAATAGCTTGTTTTCGCCAGCAGGTAACAACTCTTGTCGTGCATTAGAGTCCATGTTCAACATAAAATAACCTGAGCTTGTTCCCACGCACATAAAATGACCATCAAGAGCAAGGCTTCGAGGATGTTCCGGTAATGATATTTCTTTCAAAGATACAATGTTATCTTCTTGAACTTGGAAGAGCTGAACAGTCTTCTTCTTTATGAAGGAGACGCAAACTTCAACTGTAAATGGGTTGGCATGGACAGGATGATCATTGACATAAAACCTACTTACATTTTTTATTTTACTAAAAATTGAAGCAGATGAAGGTGCTAAATCCAACATACTGTACACTTGAATCAAACCATCTGAATTGATCAACAAACTTTTTAATTCAGTGGCAACTTTGATTTGTAAAATGGGTTTCTTTGTTGAAACTCGTTTCTGTGCCTGGAGAAATGGTGATGATGCTGAATTGTTCGCATTGCTCTGAACAACATCTTCCAGCAATAAAAAATGATATAAAGATCCGTCATTAGCTCCAACATAAATATTTTTTCCTGACATTTCCAAAGATTCGAGCATGACTTTCGGTTTATTCCCCATTATATTTTCTCTTCCAAGCAACAGTTGTAAATCAAAAACTTTTGCAGACATCTTGAATAATTGTTTATAGTCCTATCACTGTATAATGTTTCTGGATCAGAATTTTGGAAGATTAATTCAGAGATATGGAAATCCAGTTCGTAATGTAGCAATGACACATTGATAAAGCCTTTGAACAGTTGCAGGCTAACCCGTTAACCGCCGTCGCATGGCGAATTACCCATGGCGAGTTAGCCTCCACCTGGGTACAGTGGTCTGGTGGTTTATATGCGGTCTTACTATTTGGTGACCGTACATTTGAACCCATGTACATTTGAACCCATGCGTATATCCACGGGTTCAATCTATATGCGGGCGCTAAAACCCATGGGTTAGGGTTAGTATGGGTTTAACTATCCGTGAAACAAAAAAAATTCCATAGGTGCAATAGCATACAGGTGCAATTGTCATGGGTTCAAATGTACGTGGGTTCAAATGTAATGGAACCTTACTATTTACTGAATAGAGCGCGAAGCAGCGCAGAAGAGAGGGGAAACAGCGCAGAAGAGCGCGAAACAGCGCAGAAGAAAGGGAAACATTTTCTTTCATTATTTATTACCATCTGTGCCGCGAGCCTAACAGTTTGGGAAGCCCTGATTTAGATAACACGCGGAGATTGCACGATGCAGGGACGAGTCTCAACATCGACCAAAAGCGTTTTTCTCCTCGCGTTTGAAACGTTCCCAAGTCGTAACACTCCGGGGGGTTGTTATAATTCATCTCATCATCGACCAAAATCGTTTATTTCCCCTATGTTGACAGCGTTCCCGAGTCGGAACACTATGAGTATTTTACATTGGTCACAGCTTTCGAGGAAACAATGTTGTTTAGGCTATTTAAAATGTTAAGAAGTTTTACAAATCTACCATTATATAAACGTTTCTATTAACTATGTAATGTCATTATAATAACAACATTATTCCTCATTTAGAACATAGGTCTGCAATTTCTTCCCTCGGTATCATTTTCTTTCCTCAAAAAATACGGCGCAAACGGTATTAACGCATGTTTCACTGGCGTTCATCATTTGGATGAATATTGAAAGGTAATTTTAGAAGAAACGATCACTATACAAACTACACAAAACTTGTCTAATATATTAGGACTAGGTAGTTGATGCAACAATTTAATGGGTTTTTCTACTAACTATAATCATTCTTCAAGTTCAATATTGATATCTTATCACACTTTATGCTATAGTTCTTCCAAATTTAAGGAAAGTTAACGATAATATGATGTTATACTAAATAGAATCAAATTTGGAAATATTTGAATCGGAACATTGCGATTCGGAATTCGATTCGAAAATAAAATATTCGAAACTTACATCCTTAAATACGTCTGGGCGATGGCTTTCACGCGGAAAAGTTCACTCGCAAAACTATTTTAGCTTTGGAGCGAATGAAAGCAGTTCTTATTAAATCACAACAAGCATGAATTGTATGATCATTTTGAAGACAACCATTGAATCGCTAAACTTGCTTACATGATGACGTATTTGAACAAATGAATGAGCTCAATATAAAAATGCAGGGAGTAAGCGAAAACATATTGACATATTAAAAAGTTACATGGATTCCAAGGAAAAATGGGTTAAGGCTGGAATCTTTTCAAGAAGCTTTAAAAATCAAGATAATGTTGAAAAGGGTTTCGTGTCAAATTTGGCAAAAAAGCACTTAATCTTTTAGCACCTCTTCGCAATCAACAATGAACGATACGACTGATCCGAAATCTTTTCTCAACTAGTGCTGAAATGTCAACGAAAGAATTATCCCTGCGTATTCGAGAAAATTTTTTTGACGTAAGAAATGACAGGACGCTAAGACTGAAATTCCACGTGATGTGTTTTGGATTTCAATAAAAGAAGAATATAAGCACATTTCTAATGCAGCTATTGAAATATTTCTCCAGTTTTGCACAACTTATATGTGAGCACAAGCTTTTTCTCTTTAATACTGATCATAAACGATCCTGCATAGAAGATATTGACGGCGAACTTTGAGTTGCTCTTTCACGTATTGATCCTATTCCTAATATAGAGCGATTGTGCTCATAGTTGTAGTATGATTTTACAGACTTGTTTACGTTTACTTCCATTAAAGTGATTGTGACGCAATCATTGAGAAGTGACGTGCAGCGTGAATACGCCTGTCACTGGCGTCTTTGTCTGGGACTGCTGTCTATTTAGATGTGTAATTATACCTGACAACAATAAATCTTGACACTCATTGAAACAACCGCAAATCTCTCATTGAAATATGAACATAAAACAAAATTATGTTTTTTTCGTTTGTTGTGGTCTGCCCGTCGTTGGGTGTTCCGTAGAATTTGGCAAGTTTTATAAGTGTGCCGCAAGTTAAAAAAGATTGCGGAGCACTGACTTAAACGACTGTGACAGTGGCGTAGCATCCACCCCGCGGTCGCGGGGGGCCCACAGCGAAAAGGGGCCCCAAGCGGTTAAAATTTAAAAATTTAAGCCGCAAAACCAAAAGCTGCATTGCAAAAGCAGTAATGCACATCATATAATGTTGATGTTAGTTCTGCTCGTTTTGTTACGTAACAATGCCGGAGTCGTCGATTTTCGGTGTCTTGTGGCTTGATCGCACCAAAGCGCATATATAATACATAAATCATAAATATTCGGCTCAACATAAAAACTTTAAAATTGCAGCCTAATCCAAAAGCATTATTAAAACAAAAAATCGGATGCTTAAGACGACCATTGTTCTCCAGTTGCTATAATTTAATTGAAAAAATTATAGATAGATACATTCTCTTGAGAATGCGAGTTTATGCTAGGAGAGCAACCCAAAAAAGTATATGCCACCAATATGCTAGCAGAAGCGCTGCTCGCGCAACAAATATTAGGTAGTCAAAGACCTGTATATATATTTTTATTCCATTTTAAAAATTTTTGATTGTTTTCAATTTATTCGATTTTGTTAGGTACTCTTCGATGTTCTACTTCATCAACGTTACGGTTATCATTAATTATATTACACGAATGCATTTATACTATTAAAATATATTTTCAGCTAAATTCCGTCGGCCACTTACATATTGTTCAAATATACAGTATATTTTTGTCCTAGTGAACTATGCGTGTTCGACTGTTTGTTCCATGCGCAAGAGTAGTTACGCGTGTTCGGATTTATAGCAAAATAATACATAATTTGATAATAATAAATCCCATTTTCACAAGGTATTTGAACTGTGTGGGGTTTTTATTTTAAATAAGGACGTGGATCTAATTACATAAAATCCATTGTTGCGTCAGAATACTTGCATTGTTGAGCGTCAAATCGGTATGTCGCAATAAAGATCTCCGAGGGCCTGATCGAAAAATTGTACAACGTTGTCTCTGCGGCCAATTTTTTTGCAATAGATAGTGTTGTACTTCATATTTTATTACATATTTACATAGTTCATAGCTTGGCGTTAAAAATCCACCCTTCGTTTTCAGTCTTGCTCCACTAACAGCTGAGTTATTTGATTCGGTACAACAACACGACGAAAATTTCCCATAAGACTCCATTGTTTCGTGTTTTCCAAATATGGCACAAGATGGCGTCCATGGATCTGTTTAACATTAGGCAAGTTGGTTGCCGGCCCTTGGATCGCACCGGCCACCGGCACAATTACAAGGTTGTCAGATTGATGTCGAAAGCAAAACCTCTTAGTGGCGCACAAAAACGAAGAATAAAGGGCAGAAGAGGAAGAACGTATGAAAAAAATTGAAGTAACCAAGATAAACGAAATATTTAAACCAAAATTGAAACAATTAGACTTGGGAATACTGAACGTAACTGAGGAGGAATTAAGCCTAACACCGGTGGTATCGGTAGAAAACCAGATGCGTGTTCAATCTTCAAAAGTGATGGAGCCGGCGCGAATGAATTTTCTTCCAAAACTTACACGACAATTATCACAGGTAAGCTACTGATTTTTGAAGCAAATTGAAAAAATTGATATGACGAAGATGGTGGATGAATTTGCTAACACGAAAGCGCAAATTTTAGGTTACCATAGCCCTTTTATAGCGACATGTTGTGCTTTTTTGACGAAATAAAAAAAATACTTTGTTTTAGCTCATGTCCGAGAGTTTTTAGGGTCATTTTCACGAAATATTTTTGCGGGGGGGCACGAGAGTCTTGCTACGCCACTGGACTGTGATATTGGATAGGATATACATATTTATCCCGGGGGAGAGGAAAGCCGATAAGACGGCTTATCCCTATGGCGAACCACGGCCTCTCGTCCGGTTACCATTCCAAGTCGGATATGGGATTAGTTATATTGTTTGTTTTCGGAAGCATGGACTTGGTGGTGGAGGAAGCCGTAACCGACCAGCGGTTACGTGAACCACCCAACGACGGCGAGGAGTCCAGCAATCCTCTCGCACATAACCATCCCTGCATGGGATTCGAACCTGCGAACCCACGCAGAGTAATTAGAGGTGCGGTGGCGAGCGTATTCCTAACGCTTAGCCCTTTGAGCCACACCGCCGCGCCATGTTTTGAATAATTATTTTGAAATATATTAAAATCTATATACGTGTCAGTAACACATTTATATTCATGAATGTGGGCTTAGTAGTCTATGATCGCATTAGTCTGAAGTCGCCTACCCGAGCAGTCGCTCGACAGACAGACTCACCAGTCGAGCCATCGCTCTGCGATGTCGATGCTCGGAGTGGTGGATAACTCGACTACAGAGCAATGAGAGATAGACAACTCACCAGCCGAGCAATCGCTATTAAACACATGTATTCATATAACATGGTCAAAATAGGTCACTTATACACATAAAAATGCTTTCTAGAGAAAGTTAATGTACCATATTTTTCTCAATATTTGCCTTAAAAATATCGAAATTACATTCCTATGGACCTTACCCCGAACCTCGACTTCCTTGTTTACTTCGTGACATTGGCCAATCAGCAAGATGCAAAAAGTGACGTAACAATGCTCCCTTTTCGCTTTCGCTCAAACACTTTTCTCACTCAGACAGATTTTCAAGCGTGGTCGTAAACATTATCTCATTGTACAGGATAAAAATATCTACCAGATATATGCTTTTAGGCGCAACAAAATAATAGAATCAGATTTATTTCACAATTCCATTCACTGACATAATGTATCACAATGATTTTACTACTGAGTTACTTTATTAAAGCTGCCTGGTTTCATCTCCTGATAATATAGAAGAATTGCGCTCTCTGAGCACTACCTCATTGTCAGATGTGACTTTGTAGTACATACAAAAAACGATATTGCAATCACCAGGGTCACAACGGACATGGCACGCATGCAAAGCATCCTTTATAAAGTACCATCATTTTATCACCAATAAATTGTAAAAGATTTTGCATGAAGTCCCAAGACTTCAATATTAATTTTTTTTTCTTCATTTATCATTTTTACAGTTAGCAAGTATGACACCAATGCTAGAAGTATGTGTTATTAGGTGCTGCCCGATTCTGAATCCTGTTGATTCTTTTTTTGGTGAGTAGGCGCGTACTTTTTCAACTATATTTTAATTTATGCTTGACTTCAATTTTTCTCTGCATTTTGTTTGTTTGTTCACTTTTTGTGTTGTTTCATGCCAGAGAACCAAAATAAAATGATGATGCTTGCTTACATTTTTCTGTTGTCTGACTCGCTTTTGACAGAGCGCTCTCATTTTCATCAGCGGCACTTGAGGTAGTTTCAACTAAAGTGACTATAATACAAGTGGAGACAAGCATGCATATCGGACGCCACTTTGGGTCCGACGAATCGCGCAGCCTCTGTTTGCTTTAGCTTCGTCAGTCTGCTAATCAGGGTTCGTTCGTCAATTTGTTACTGTCTTATATTTTCCCCTAAGTAGTTTTGCATTTTTCTATTTGCCTAGTGGAACAATACTGGTTTCATGCGGTTTCGTGAAAGTTGCGCTAGTTATTTATCTTATTTTCCCGTGTGAGTTATGCAACTCAAAAACCTCATATCTCACGAACCTTGTATTATATTGAGACAATCTAGGAGACAAATTATGAGATGGAGATAAAATGTTGCGATTAACGTACAAAAATCGGCAAAATTGAAGAGCGTGAAATTTTTTTTGGAAAGTCTTTAAATTGAACAACAAAATTTCGATTTGTCCTTGTTTCAACCTGGACCTTGTTTCGAATGGTATCATTAGATTGAATTTATCGTGCACCAGTAAAATTTTATGAGCTATTTTATTCAATGTTCCCCAATTCTTCACTTGTCCGCTGCGCGAACTTGTGTTTAACAACAAAGTTCCCTAATTACTTGGTTACGCAACGACGTTTCGCAATTACGTTGCAACGTAGCAACTCTGCGTTTCTTATGAAAACCACATGTCGCTTTCCCTCGAAAGTGTGAAACGCCATTAACCTGAGGCATTTTTCAGACATAAACAAAACTTGTGATGGTTCAGTGAAAGCAAGCTTTGCCATAAGTGAGATGATTGCGAAATAGTCGCGTTCTTTCGTTGAATGAAGCTTTATCAAAGGGTGTACGTTGGAGGCCTGTGAAGTAAAAGCTGCATTATTTTGTGTTTCAACAATTAAAGTTAAAAAATCAGACGACTAACAGACGAGCGTTTGCGTGCTGTCTTATTACTAGCAAACCAACGCAAATTAAGTCCAAACATCAGGTTTCATCGCTACAAAACGGTGCCAAATATCCAGCATAAGTAAATGAATATGTTTCATGTCTCGTTTTGTGGAAGATTCAAATATAATTTCAACAAATATATTCAGATTCCTTTTGTTATTTTTTTTTGTATCAATTTTGTACCTAATTTGTTGGTTTGTGGCCCGCGTCGCCGATATATTTCATAAAGTGGCCCGTGACGTATTTTGAGTTGGAGACCCTTGATCCAGAACAAAAAAGCAGGTATTATTTGAACTGGTACCAACGCAAGTCCTCACTTGTGTTATAGTCACTTTGGTTTCAACTAAAGAGTCTGAGGATAGATCTGGTTGAATCCCTGACAATCCTCCCTCACTTTTGTCAGATTATCTCTGAATTAAATGAAGTATCCAGTGACAGATCCTGGAGGATCTTTGACGAGCCTGCCTCATTTTTATCACAATCGCTTGTCTCTGTGTTATGTGGCTGTAGAGGAATCTGGCTGGATGTCTTCGCAATGCCTATGCGAACAAATAAGTTTTTGACAAGTGTATAATCAAAAAATCAAATCATGGTAAATGTAATCCTTACCTCACAATTTGATGGTGTTTTTTTTTGTTGGGCGGCAAGAATCTGGTATTCATCAGTTGGTCCATCGCCTCAATGAAAATGCTGAAATGCATAATGGAACGCATTGCTTGTATAAAAATTTATTTCATATAAGAATTAACATATAGCCTATATAGAATATATCATAGGTATCGAAAACAATTTATATGTTGGCCTATCTTGGTACACAAGTAAGTTCTGGTGATTTTTCCCAGATTGAATTGACTGTGAGGCCTGTTGCATGCCTTCATCCACCTCATTGCTTTTTGACGGTCGGTCGATATGTGGTTTCGGAAAAGGCACAAATCCTACCCCATTTGTCCGGCAGGGGTACCGATTGTCAGACTGGCAAATACCATATGCACAACGTTTAACCATGGTTAGTCTACCAAAATAATCCACTAATAGATACTGTCTAATAAAAATGCAACATCGTATCGATGGCAAATTCTTTCGTACTGACATACGGTAGGCTACCGGTACCTTTGATTTCATTAGCATGACTGTCTACTATTTTTGGTTCGAAATAGCAGTTGGTTAACCTGGTACCTGCAGACCTGTAAGGTGCCAGCCTAGGGCGAAGCCTCTCAGTATAAATATATATATATGGAATCCGTGAACGTGATTTGCAACAAGTACCGGTAACATTCAGTATTACAGCTTTCTAATTCTCGCAGTACTGCGAAGAAAACAAAAAGTGAAAAAAGAACAAAGACCTGCTTACTGCTTAGACCGCCAGCAACTCACGTGCGAATGCGAACGCGTCAAGGGTTGTCTGAGCGAACTTTAAGCGGTGAATGTTTGTTTACATCTGCTCGCTTGTGATTGGTTAAGAATACGGATGTTTTGGTGTCGGGGAAAGGTCCATTGGAAGTATTTTTCGGGGGTTAAAGGTCCATATAAAATGCGAAAGGACGGATAACTCACCAGACCTCTCTGTAGTCGAGTAGTCTCTGGTAAGTTGTCCGTGTAGTCGAGTTATCCGCGATGACGAGTTTTGGCTATCTGCTAGGTATCTCGAAAATATGTGTCCTACTTGCTTCACATGCTAACATGTGAAGTTGTGAAAATTGGCGTATAGGTGAATTACACCTGAATTATTACTGTTTACTGACGGGATAAAATAGTTGTCTTGGTAGGACAAAAGGCACAAGTAGGGCACGTTGTACAAGTGGAACACACATTTTGGCAAACCCCTATCTGCTTACAAATTCTATTCAACCATCAGTGCAAAAGCTATCAAAATAATCTAGCCATTTGTATCTCCATGGCTCTGTGAACACAGATTTTCTGCTTGATTAAAATGATTTAAAACTTAAAAACAGGCACACACATCACATTACTGCATTAACATTTGCAGAATAAATTTGTGTCAAGCCAACTTTATTTTTTACATGTGTGCAGCGAACAGAAAAAGTTTGAGAACCACGGTGACTGGCCTAAGCCATGGTTTTTAAACTCTTGATATAATAATAGAAAATTCAATCAATCAAATCATTTTTTATCAGCCATTCAGGAAAAGCACAAAATAAGAGCAAAAGATTCGTATATGAGTTAGTCATGCCTTTGTCTGGAAATGACAGGATAACCGCAAAGTGACCAGTCGGTCTAATTTTCGGCGACAAACTTGCTAAGATTTATGAATACTGTACAAAAATGCCACATCGCAAAATTCAGTTGAAGACAACAATGTTCGAATGTAAAGGCAGCGCACATAGTTTTCAGGCGGCCATAACCGTCGAAATTGACATTCACCTTTGGGTGATTCTTAAAGTACAGTAAGTTCTTTTTCTTCAGATTTGAGTTTCCAAATTGGTCATATCGTTATCACCCAGTCATATACCGAAAACTGCATTATGTGCTATATTTTATTATTATTTGTTATTGATTCATCATTATGTTTTCTGGTTTGACGAAAAAAATAAATTTTCTCTCTCTCTAATTGCAAGTAAATATCCTGTGACATACCATACACAAAAATTATGTCAAGTTTAAGACATTGTCCAACCGTAAAACTTATACTTATCTTTTCATCTGTGAATAACAAAATTATATACGTAATCTACTTCCCTACCATAACTTCTGAACTTTTAGACACAATGTTTCTCCATTTCCGAGGCGCAGTTCTTACCACTTCATGGCAGCTCCTGCCATGAACGAACCGCGGCAGCTCTAGCCATGGTTTTATAGCGCTATTCAGTATTAACGGTATATTCACAAATTAATGTACCAGATTTTAATTGATCATGTGGAATTATATCTACTTAAACCCTAACCCTAACCCCAAATCCATCAAAACTATATCCATAAGAAAAACGTTCCAACTCAACCAATATTTGTCACCATAAGGGACAGCCCTATCTTTACGGCCCACCTGCCGCGGTTACGGCAGCAAAATTTTACCTGCCATTGGTTTTCAATTTGCTGCCAGGGTAACGGCAGCTCGACATTGGTTTGTGGCAGCTAATCATTGAGGTGTATGCACTGTATATACACACAGTGGCGCAGCCATGGGGGGGGGGGGGGGGGGGGGTCGGGGTCGAACCTCCCCCCCCCCCCTTTTGAATTTTCTGAAAAGTGAAAAAGTTGCCGATAACATGTGCAATTGCCTTCTGCTAAAATCGCCGTTCGTTTTCATCAACGCGGCATGTTATTTATGCGGTGAACGCCCTCTACATTGGTGTTTATTCTCTTTTTAAATCACAAAGTTGTGCCGCGGGAACAATGATAATTATTTTATTTTTGTACCTGCACGGAAATGTGAAAACTGAAAAAGCGTGCAATTGCCTTCTGCTAAAATCGCCCATGTTTCCCCATCAGCGTGTTATTTAGGCCGTAAACGCCCTTACGTCGGTTTTTATTCTTTCTAAATCATAAATTTGTGCCACGATAAACATGATAACTTTGCACGGAATTGTGAATTCGTGAGTTTTTATACGTTCATAGGTGGCGAGGTTTAAAGACAAAAGAAGAAGTAAAACCGCGATCTAAATTTGATTGAAAAGCGGCATTATAAAATACTGAAAATAAAACCGTAAACAATATAAGTTTTGTTGAGTCCCGCGACAGTCTAAAAACGCTTTTCTAGTCGCGAAATCGCAAAATTTCGTGTTCCTACGCCGCACATTATGTTTGGTCGCCGTTTAGGAACATACCCTCACTAAAATCGAAACACGGTTAATTGTGGGTGGGATTTGCCTTTTATCCATTACTTTAAAATTGTCGTAGAAAATTTTCGTGTTATCTTTAAAAATAATCGGAGTGTCAGCATTGCGATTGAACGGCAAGCACATCTCAAATTTGTCGAATTTGCAAAATAGAAAAAATACGGATCAAAACAATATATGATAGGCGACGGGCAGTTATAGGGAGAAAGAGATGAGATGCTGATGGGATAAAGACTATCACCCTATATGTTTAAGTCACCCTATATGTTTAAGTTCGATTCCCGCGTTATTGTTTTGACACGCGTTATGGAATGTGACTCCAATCTGGACTCCTTCAGACGATAATAAGCACACAGTGTTGATGCTAATCGTTGTTGTATATTATAGGAAGATGCACAATCCAAATTCCGAAAACAGATAAAATTGAGACACACTTAACTCTTAACACAGTAAATCAGGAGTGAATCAAAACACATCACACTTAACGCAGTAAAACAGAAGTGGATCTAAACACAATATTATGCAGCCCTCTCGGCAAGCCGGAACGATACGTCATCAAATTGGTCGATACGAGAAAGGCAGTACATGTAATCAGTAATCAGTGTTGCTACAATAAAATGACCTATTGTGGGAAATGGAACACACTATTAAAATGAAAGGGTTAAATACATTATAATTCATAGTTACACAATGCACATTCGCTACACAATTCCCCCTCGACAGTAAAAAAAATTAACTTGATAATTTTTTAAATTTTGGAGTCCGGCCGCCGAGAGATGAAGTGAAAGAAAACAAAATAACACGAATTATTAAAAGATATTGATACGATATGATGAGTAATGGTTAAGGTATACAAGAGAATATACGCCGTTTACTAGAGAAAACAAAATACGAGAAAAAAAATTCAAAGGGTCTCTCTCTATGTTGCTTAGAAATGCTTAACATTTTAAAATGGAATTGTAACGAAATAGTAAACAAAATGGCGACAATACTTGAAAGAAAGGACCTAAAAGAATGTAAAACACTTTGATGTTTAAAAGAAGGGCCTGAGAAGAAAAAAATGGCGGATTTAGTACTTGAGAATTACACCGAAATTGGTTTGGTGTTTAAGATTGTAAAATTGGCGTTAGAGGTTATTTGAAACAAAATGATAAGTAAGAAAAAATCCTGTAAATTGAATAATGAGTAATTTGACAGATTATTGAACCATTGAATCCCTGAAATTGAACCTGAATCAAATTCTGTATGAAGTAAAAGAACTCGTGATATCTAAAAAACAAGGCATTGATTAATAACAAGTAATTACACAGAAAAGAAAACTGACACTGCACAATTATTTTATTTGTATGTTTTTTTTTTGTTATATTTAAATTCTTATACTAAGGTGTTTTGATGTTTTATAGTGGATAATAATAAGAGAAAAGTAATAAAATACAAAACGATTAAAGTGATAAAATACAAGATGATTAATAACGAGGCGACACATTGCGAGATACACACCATATACAACTCGCAACGACCGCCGGAATCGAGTTGACTTAATAGGGTGGGGATAAATTTAAAAGGTTGTTACAGTCAAACTTTCGACTCCATTTGAGCTTGGGTGCTCGCATCTGAGAAGTTGCTAGCATTTTCCATCGATTCATCGTCAATTTCGACATCGGATAACTGGTGTATTTCTTGTTGTTCGTTGAATTGTACTACGGTTTGTCGTGGTATGCTGAGAAGTCGTTGTATTGGTTGCAGCAATCCATTTGTTAATGTACGGCGAACGGACATTCGGCAGTTTGGCAAGCTTCGATAGATGAAATAACCTATGTAAAGCAGGGGTACAACGAATAAAGCGTAAATGAGGCCAAATAGCGGCCACGCCTT